CCTTTTCACAATGGAGCGGGCCCAGCTCCGCCCTCCAGCACGAGCGCGGAAGGGAGGGGAAGCTGGGCGAGGGGAGAGCCCGGGACGCGGCGGGAAGGCGGAGGCAGGGGCGGGGCGGCTCCGCGAGACCCACCCACAGCCCCAGGCTCCTCCCTCCCCGCGGACCCCGGGCCTTGTCCGAGGGCGTACCCCACTCCAGGGACCTTTAGGGGCTTTCAGGATCTGGGCTATGGGACCGCCCAGACAGACGGCCTGAAGCAGAAAACAAGACCGCCTACATTTTCTCATTTACCTTTTTCCCAGGTGGGCCACCCCATGCCCTCTTACAAACCCATCCCCATGCCCTCCCCTCGTCTCTAAGTTCACCCGACACCTGCTCTGGATCCCAAGGTGGAGCCCACCTACCTACAACCCGTTTGCTTCCTCCTTTCACTCCAAAACCACTACCCACCATGCCCCTGCCCATCAGGGTCCTTTAATCCTGTGACTTGGCTAAACCCTTCTTTCCCCTTAGAATGGTGCCTTAGTTATTCCACGCTCCTGGAAAGGGAAATGAGCTTTTTATTCCAATACCCCTACCAAACCCAGCTCCTTCAGCTCCATCTCTCCCTTGTTTCACATTCTGATCTCTAGGTAAGAAAGTCCTTCTTCAAGGAGAAAGGATTTCTTAGTCTGGGAAAGAGAAGAGCTGGAAGTATGGACCACAGAAGTTATACAAAAACGAAACTTGAAACTCAGGAGCAGGAGAGTAGAGAGAGTTGGGTAGAGGGCCAAGGAATAAGGAGCAGGAAGAAGGGGCTCAAAATATCACCAAGAGTCACAGAGGGAGCTCGCTGGAACCCCAAACTTCCTGCACCTGGTAACTATCAGACACCAGGGCTTTTGTCTTGTCTGGGGGAGAAGGGAGGAATAAAAGAAAACCTGACATTTTATTAAGCATCTACAATGAGCCAGGCAGTTTCTAACATTATCTCACTAAAACTTTTCAAGCCCTCAAGAAGTAAACCTTATCCTGTCTTACTGGTGAGACTTAAGCTTAGAGAGAAAGTATGCAATTTACCTAAGTGGTGTGCTAGGATTTGAAATTAGATGAAGCTGACTCTGAAGCCTATGCTCTTTTCACGGTATCCCAGAAGAGAAAAGAGGAGCAATCTCTTGGTGGGGGCCCAAACCAGCAGGCTTTCTGAGAAGAGACCGAACCAGTAATGCACACACCAAATCCACATGTCTATGGAAGGAAGGGAGGGAAGAAGGAAATCCTCTCATCTACTGAATTCTTTAACCTGCCGCTAAGCACAAGGGACACCTAAAAGAAACGGAAGAGATACCATCAGGTTAAGGGCCTGGTCTGAGCCAGGGCCTATAGCTCTCTAGGCCTTTCCCATCTCACTGCCTCCTCCTAGCTCTCAGGAATTACGGCGTTCCCTGGACTTGGGGTGAGAGAAGGGCAGTTACAATTAATGGAAAATTCACAGGATCATTGTAAACCACCTCTAGTCTTATTCTGGACACCCTGAAGATGCTATCCTGAGAGATATTCAGTCAGCTGTCACCTGTAGTGGCTTAACAGCAGCACCCTGGAGCTGGAGAAGCCCCACAGTTTTGGTGGAGTCACTCCTGATATAGCATCCACAATATTCAAGGGACCCACCAGAAGTCCAAGGATCCTGAGATAAAGAAGGCCTGGCTTTTCAGACCAGAACACAGAGATCCTACCGGGGATGCAAGAAAAAAAAGAGGAGGGCTGTTATGAAGGGTTAATAGAGCCAGAGTGGGCAGGTAGTTTGAGGAAAGTGTGAGGCACAGCACATGCAGAAAAAGATTTATAGAAGCTTCCAGTCCCAGTGCTGAATAGTGACTAATGTTTTGCAATCTGAAGAAACCCCAATTTATCTCCAGGGCAGATTAACCTGTTTAGGAGCTGAACAGGGTAGCCTGGAGCTCAAGGTCTAGGAGAGGTGGGGCAGCTTCACAGAGAAAGACACAGGGATTACAGAAAACACGATGGCCTGAGGAAAGAAAGAGTACTCACCATTCTACCGTGGCAAGGGTCCTGGCTGCCTGCTTCTCACTGTAAGAAGACAGAGGAACATAAAAGTGAAGAGCCCCATCAACATTACCATAGAATCAACAAATGTTACCCATCTGCCTCTGACCTTCTCTACAACATATTCTCCCTCGCAGAGACCCTGGTCTCTCCACAAGTCACCGTACCAGAGAGAGGCAATGGGAGCTACATAGGGAGAAAGCAACAAGTGATCCTGCAGGGCATAAAGTCAGCCACGAGGTTCTGGAGCAGGAATGAGTGTCATCCAAGATTATTCACCAGAACTCAGGAGTCCTGATTCCCAGATGCAGAGGGAGAACACTTCTTTGTGGGGCAGCAGAACTGCCAACTCTGAAGAGACAAAGCCTGCCCAACTGGGGTACATTTTGGGCCCTGAATCTTTGGGCAAAGTGGCAGTGGCTGAAGGGGCATGAATCCACAGGAATGTTTTGCCAGTCTCTGAGTCTCTTAGTAGTACCTACCTGACCTGTTTACTGGGGGCAGAGTCCGAAGTGGGACAAGCGTGATGGTGGTGGGGAGGGACCACAACCTGTGATCAGAGGGCAGCAGGGCTGCACAGGCACAGGTCCTGCTGAGTGTACTTGACACCAAGTTGGGTGGAGGTTACGGAGAGGAGCCCATACAACAGGAATAGAATCAGGCCAATTCAGGCCTTGGAGTCAGCATCTGTCCAATGAGCCCAAGGAACAGGGATTTCAGGATGGGGCCTCCTAGGCTTACTTAGGAAGCCAGGCCCAGGTTTCACTGACACTTTCCTTCATGCCTGCTATCCTCAGGGGCAGTACAGCAGAGCCCTATGGGAGACTGCGGGCATAAAAGCCTCCATCTGTGGTCCTGCCCACCTCCCTGTTGACAGTACCCTCTTCCCTAGACCACTCTCCCTCATGGGGGAACCCGCAAGAGGCAAGCCAGAGGTGCTGCCTCACCGCCCACTGGCACGCAGCCCCAGGGAACGAAGGGAGGGCAGGAAGGACAAGGATCAGGCCTGGGAGGCCCAGGGTTTTCAGGCCTAGGAGATCTGGTCCCGGGGGGCGGGCCAGGTTGGCAAGGGAGCCCAGGTGCCCAGGTTCTAGGGGCGGAGCCTAAATACTCGGAGGCGGAGCCCCAAATGACAGAAGGCGGGACTCAGGAAAGCCGGTGGGGTCAGGGCGGAGCCGGGCAAGACCTGGTCGCTGCGGTTCCCAGGCTCGCAGTGCAAGGGGCACGGTGACTCACCCAGGCGGCGTCCGCCCGACCCTCCGAGTCCGAGCTCCAGCCACTTCCGTCTCCCGCAGCTGCCGAGACCGCGCCGTCCCGACCCCACCACGGTGCTCTGCTCCACAACCAATTATATCTCCTGCCTGTGCCCGCCCTGGCCAATAGCCACGCCAAGTCCCGCCCTGCCCCCATCACGCAGCCGCCGCCCTCACTCTCGACGCCACTCATTGGTCGAGACGGGCAGACGCCCTCCCAGCCTTTAGCCAATCGAATGCCTGAAGACAAGCCTATACCTGGAGGGAGGAGGCGCGGCGCCGGAGATGAGACGCGACCAATGGGAAATCACAGCGCGTCCTTGCGGTAGCCAATTGGAGAGCAGTAAAGAGGGGGCTGCCGGCTACAGCCCTGGGGACCGGAAGTGGGGGCGGCTAGTCGCCTACTGGTAGCGCAATTAGAGGCGGGCGTTGTAGGGTACAAGCCTTAAGGCACTTCCGGTGATGGCCCCGCCCTGGAGGTCCTTCTGAAACAGATCCCCAGTGGCACCTCAGTTTATCCATTCCTGTTTTGGTTTTCGCCGCTGTCATCCGGTCCCAACGCCAGAATAGGAGAAAAACCTGCAGGCTAGGAGAGAAGGGAGGGCTAGGCCTGAGGTTCCGTCGTGGTCATCTCCGACTGGCTGGGATTTCCCCCTTCCTGTATCGGGTTGGGTTCCTCCAACACTCCTTTTGTATCGATAAACGACCCTGCCGTTCTTCACGACCTGCATTGTGCTAATAGTCCTGAGTGAAGAACTCTCATCCGAGAGTTGGAAAATCTGGATCTGAGACTGCCAGTAACTAGCTGCGGCCTCCTAGTCCGTAAAGGGAAGGGAGACCAGGACGCTCCCAAGGACCCGACTTATCGCCCCTCCCTTTCTTTCTTTCCCGGGGACCCAGAACAGACCACAAGACGGAGGGTGGCCGCTGGAGGTCGCCGTGGACCCGCGATGCCACCAACCGACAGAAATGCAGAACAGTTGATTCAGATTCTCAGCTAATATTCTCAGGTCTGGAGTGGGCCTGAGCGCTTTAATACCAAGCCCCGGGACTAATGGGTCCTCACCATTCTTTGTTTATAGAACACTGAAACTTCAGTACAGTTGGTAAGTTCCAGGAAGACGAGAACTCTGCACTACTTTTAACTCCAGGGTCCAGAACAGTCTGCAATCTAGCAGATGCTGTAAAAATTTTAATTAAATACTGAACTCCTGTAGGACAATGATTGTGTTTTTATTCATTCCCAGCACTTGCTATAGTGTTTGGTGATTACAGTGGCTGCAGCATTTGTTTAAAGCTCTTTCACAGGTTTTTTACAGTGTAGAGCTTAACCTGCCTATTCCTTTTCCCAAATCAGGAGAAACAGAAAGTTAGGAAGTTGCACACAGTTAATACCTTGCGTTTTCCCAAGGGCAAATATGAAATCCAAAACTGCTGCAGAATTAAAGGTATGTATGTGGGAAAGATGGACAGAGACCCGAACCCCAGATAATAAAGGCAGGATAGATATGGTCATTAAGATGGAGAAGCCAGACTGGATTCTAAGCAGGGACTAAGAAGGGGAAACAAAGTGGAAAGTTTTCCCCACTTTCCCTTCCCTGCCAAAAGCCAGAAACCAACATTTACCATTAGCCTTTCAAAACTGGGTCCCAGGATCTTGGTCTCCAGGAGGTCATAAAGATACACACAGGGACACCAGAAGCCACCTACAGATTTATTAAACTTTATTTCCTCTGAGTCTCTGGGCAGTCAGCAGGGATGTAAGGCGAAGTGGCAGTAGCTGAAGGGGCCTGAGCAGAGCTGGTGCTGGGAGGGGCCGACATGGACAGGAAGAAGAGGAAGAGATTTAAATATCCAGGGCTGAAAGCCAGTTAATGGGTCTCCTTCATCTGTTTTTGTATTTTGTGTAGCATCTCTTGCATCCGCCGCAGCTGGAATAGGCATAGGCATCAAAATGGGCCTTTTTGGAGAGTCCTTTAGTATTGGGGAAGTGCCCCAAATTTCTAATCCCTTAAGCCAGGACCTTGGTAGCCCTGAGGTGTGATGGAGACTCTGGACAGAACCACCTATTGACCTATCCAGGACCCAAATAGGCACCAGAGCCAGGGATCTTTCTATTACCAAACCAAGAGATACCAACGTTGATGATCAAACAGGGTACCTTCCCTATGCCCCATACTGCTCTCACCTCCTCATCTTTCTCTCGGATAAGCTTCTCAGTTTCTGGATCTGTCCCTGGTGGGACAGCAGGGATGGGGAAGTCAGTACCACTCTCTCGAGTCAGTTTGCTAAGAGGAGAGAAGGGTTGGTAAGGCTAGGAGGACCCCAGTACCCACTTAGATTGAGCCCAGGGCCTATAGAAGAACAAAAGAAAGGTTTGGTCTCACCCAAGGCTAGGCTTGGGATCCCCCCTGCCACCTTTGTCCTGGCTTCTGGTCATACTTGCGATTCCGTTCCTTCACCACCAGGCGGGTCATGCTCTGGATGCACTGTGCCCGGTAGTTTTCATAATGTGTCTCCCGCGTCACATCCTTCAGGTCCTGCATGTGGGTACGTACCAGCATTGTCCTCAGCTTCACAAAGTCGCAGTGCCCTGGGTTTTCCACTGCATAGCAAGGCTAGGGGTCAGCCAGAGGCATAGGTAGGGGAGAGCCACTGAGGGGCAAGGAGATACCCTGGTCACAGGCTCAGTGCTTTACCTTCCACGATGCCCCAGGGGTAGAGTCGACCCCGAACTCGCCGCCCTCTGGCCTCTACTACAGTGTTGCTGCCAATGACTGCAAATGGGATGCTTTCCTGGAAGAGGTTAGGGGTGCCTGTCAACACCCTCTGTTCTCACCTGTTTCTTTCCACCTGTATCGTCATCTTCTCTGCTTCCCTCTAGGAAGCCAGCGTCCTTTCCCACCCTGATAGCCTGAATATAGAATTCTACTCCCTTTTTCCACCCAGAAGAAACAAGATGGGAAGGGGATGCCCTAGAGTGGCCCCACCTTTAGGGCTTGATCCTGCAATTTGAAGTCCTCATCCTCATCAGAGTCACAGTCTGGGAACTGATAGATCTTGATTCCAAAGCGCTCAATCTCCTCCCGGATCTGGCAAACAGATGAAGGGCCCACAGTTCTGGGGACCACATCCTTTCTGGAAGCCCACCTGATCCCCTCCCATCACCAGCTTCCCTCACTTTGCGTTTCTTGCAGTCCACTTCGGGAGGTGTCAGTGTGTCCGCCTTAGCCAGGATTGGCACGATGTTGACCCGCTGATGCAGGGCCTTCATGAATTCAACATCCAATGGCCGGAGCCTGGGGAACAGGAATCTGTGACCACCTGCTAGTGGCAGCCCTGCCCCTGGTGCTCTTGGCCTGTTCCCTTGACAGCACCCGGTGGTGCCAGGAGCCTCAGGCTTGGACCATACCCGTGGCCGAAGGGTGAGATGAAGTACAGGCAGCAGTGCACCCTGTTGTCTTGGATGTTCTTTCGGTTCAGGCCACTCTCATCTCGGAAATACTGCTCAAACTGCTGATCAATGTATTCTGCCACAGGCTTCCAGCTGGGGCAGGGACAGACAAGCAGAGAAACTGTGAGAGTGAGCGCCACCTAGTGAGCTTTGGGACTACGGAGACGTAGCCCACTCCCTGAGCAGTGTTTTCAAGACATTGTTATTCCCTGGCTTGCTTTACCAAATCTTCAGGGAAATTCCTGAATGGGATGGTGTATATCTCACGTCTTGATACAAAAGACTGAGTACTCAGGCAGAGTTTAATAAATACTAGTTTGATGACAGGAAAAGGACCCAGGTGATCAAACAAAAGAGTAAGAATAGGCCAGGCGTGGTGGCTCACGCCTGTAATCTCAGCACTTTGGGAGGCCGAGGAGGGCTGATCACTTGAGGTCAGGAGTTTGAGACCAGCCTGATCAACATGATGAAACCCTGTCTCCACTAAAAATACAAAATTTAGCTGGATGTGGGTGGTGTGCACCTATAGTTCAAGCTACTTGGGAGTCTGAGGCAGGAGAATCACTTGAATCCAGGAAGTGGAAGTTGCAGCGAGCCAAGATCATGCCACTCCAGCCTGGGCAATGGAGTCAGTCTGTCTCAAAAAACAAACAAACAAACAAACAAAAATAGCAAGGTAGGGCTGCAGGCAAACACTAACTGGAAGCCAGGGAAACCCTAAGTCAGGTTTCCAGTCTAACCTCAGAGCCTTTTTGCTCATATGTTTCTACCCTCTCCTCTACCTCTCCAAACCCATTCTATCCTTCAAAGCCGTAAGAACCACCTCTTCCATGAAGGCTCCTTTAACTATATTTCTCTCCTTCTCTTCACTACAGAGCAAAAGAAATACATAAATTAATAAATTTCCCCAAGAACCTCAATTTCATATCCTTTGCTCTTCTATTATCTTGTTTAATCCTCACTGCCCTCGCAGGTGGACATTAGGCATTATGATCACCATCACTCTCATTTCCTACATGAAGAAACTAAATCCAGAGCAGTTAACAGACTTGTTCCAGGCCAGATGTGGTAGTTCACGCCTGTAATTCTAGCACTTTGGGAGGCTGAGGTAGGCAGATCACTTGAGCCCAGGAGTTCAACATCAGACTGGGCAATATAGTTAGATCCCCATCTACAAAAAAACTACAAAAAAAATAAGCTGGCATACACCTGTAGTCCCAGCTACTTGGGAGGTTGAGGTGGGAGGATAACCTGAGCCCAGGGAGCCTAGGGAGGTGGTTTATCAGGCCACTGCACTCCAGCCTGGGCAATAGAGTGAGAACCTGTGTCAAAGAAAAAAAAGTAGGGGGAGACGACTTGCTCTTGGTCATTTAGCTAGTAAATTCTCTACCCATCTGAGCCTCTACAGCTCAGTGCATTTGCCGCTACACATTGCCTGACCCATTTACTAATTTAAGTTGCTATCTGATTGAAACATGTTTGAGAACTTCCCCCGCCTCCCCCACTTCCCTGTTGCCACTTGACTATAAGCCTCTCAGGGATAGTAATCATTCATGCCTATTCTAAATCCCTTAAAATGTTCAGCACAGGCTGGACATCTAGTATGTGCTCAATACATTCTAGCTGATTTGATGCTTTGCTCTTACCAAAATTCTTAAATTCCTAAAAACTTTGAACAAAGAGCCCTACATTTTCATTTGCACTGGGCCCAACAAATTATGTTGCTGGTCCTGTAATTATCATTGTTAAAATTCATGAGTATGCTGTAAATAACCCTTTGCACTCTTGAGTATGCATGCATCATGCTGGGTGATGTTCAGATCAATTGGAGAGGTAGTTAAGGGCTGGTATGTTTTAATTAAATACATGTCTGACAAAATGAGTATATATGGAGGTGTACTTTAAACTGTGAGGTGCCTGGAAAATGAAATTATTAGTATTATGGAAGATAAGAGGCAGTAGGTAAACCAATTTAAGAAGATCATTTGCTGAAGATCATGAAGTTACTAAATGCCAATCAAGATTTGAACTCTGTCTAGGGCTCTTAGCACCAACTGTCTAACGTCTTCATCAAAGGTACCACCTTTTCTCCTGTCAATCTCATCAATTCCCCCCTTCATCTACTCACTTAGGTCTGACCCTTAGCTAAGCATCCCTCTAGCACCTGAAAAATAAAAAAGCCCAAAAGATAGGGGGTTGTGGCAAAGCCAGCTTTTCTTTCAGCAGGTAGCCTAGAAAGTACCTGGAGTTTAAACAAAGTTCCACCATTTTTCCCCTTTGCCTATTCTTCCTTATCTTTACCCTTCCTCCATGCATGACCAGCCCTTCAACATTTAGGTACCCTTGTTGGTGGCACCTAAAATATTGCTAGTGAAAGGAAAAGGTATGAGTTTACTGAGCATCTACTATGTAATCAAACTCTGTCCTACATGTTTTCACACTTCATATGTGTTTGCTTTTTGAGGCTCTTCTTTCTTACCTGCTTTTTTTTTTTTCTTCTTTTTTTCGGTCTTGCTCTGTCTTCCAGGCTACAGTGCAGCGGTGTGATCACGGCTCACTGCAGCCTCGACCTCCTGAGCTCAGTGATTCTCCTGCCTCAGCCTCCCTAGTAGCTGAGACTACAGGCCCATGCCACCATGCCCGGCTAATTTTTTAAACTTTTGTAGAAATGGTATCTCACTATGTTGCCCAGGCTGGCCTTGAACTCCTGGCCTCAAGTGATCCTTCTGCCTCAGACTTTTCTTCCTTATTTCCCTACCCCATTAAAGAATCATAGGGCAGAACTGGAAGGAACATTAGAAGTCACCTATTCCAATCTTTTTCCTCTTACTTTATAAAGGAGGGGGTCGCTGTAGTAAGGGAAGTTACATGCTCAAGGTCATAGACCTCTTCCTCCTGATAAGTATGAATATATCTGGGCCTATATGTATATCTGTATGGAGAAGGGTAGCTCAGGGGCAGCTGGAATTGTGCTTAGTCAGACATACCACTCTGTGTTGTTGACTGCATCCCCAAAACCTGGTGTGTCCACAATGGTAAGCCGCAGCCTTACACCCTTCTCTTCTATGTCCACTGCATGCTTAGTGATCTCCACAGTTTGCATGATCCGCTCTGGAGAAGGGGGAAACTGAGGCCAGGGCAAGGGCAGGGACCTGCCCAGTCAGGATGAACCACCCACCCCAAACAGCTTCGTTGCCCAGACTGCCTCATCCACACTGCCCCCCTCTCCACCCCCGAGCTGCCTGGGGGACTGTTCCCTGGGAACCAGCAAGGAGTACATTTCCCAACACAGGAAATGCCGGTGGCTGTTGGCTCTGGCCCCAGCCTCTTCTCTGATCCCGTTTTTTTTTTTTTTTTTTTTTTTTTTCTTGGATTCCTGGAATCCTTGGGGGTCAGAGACTCATTCAGAGAGCAAGACTCTGGTCCCTGCCCTGCTTCAGCACCCAAATCTTTAGGGAGCAGGCTGGTGGGCTGCCAGGCAGATAGGCCCATGGAGAGCTGCTGTCAGTCTCTCTAGGAAGCCATGGTTTCCAGCATGTAGAGGAGAGTCCCATCCCCCAGACTCTGGGGTGAGTTTAATTTCCCAAGATAAGTGTGCCTGATTGTCCTCTCCTTTCCTTACCTTCAGCACCAAGGAGTTTCCGGTCCCGGTACAGATCAGTGAGGAAGAGGCTATTGACAAGTGTAGATTTGCCCAGGCCAGACTCTCCTGAGAGGAGAGAGGACAGAGGCACCAAATCAAAAGGTAAGATCTGTAGCCAAAAAGCAACTCCACTGGATTAAGGTTTAGAGGAAACTGCTTTCTTATCTAATCGGAACTAGACTAACTATAGTATTTTAGAGCTTGAAGGAAGCACAGAGATTGGCTTGGGAGAGCAAGAGATTGCTCAAGGTCACACAAAAGGAGGCAAATACTAGAAAACTGTTGGCCAAATGTTCTTTGCAACCAATTCGTACCCCCACCCCAAATACATACACTCTCAGAGGCCAGTAACTCCTGGCTATTTTGCAAAACAGCACAGCCACTCACTGCTTGCTCCTTTCGACCTATACTCCCTTCCCACTCATGGACACACACACCATCCCCACCTGAAACACACCCTGCCCAACCCAGCCCTGCCCCTTTTCTACCTGCCACCATGAGAGTAAAGTCAAAGCCTTTCTTCACGGACTTTCGGTGGACTTGGTTGGGGAGGGTTGCAAAGCCCACGTACTCCTTGTCATCCTAGTAGACAGAACGCAGAATGTGTCAGGACGAGGAGCTGAAGGGGCCCTGGCACCCAGCACTGATCTTCTCTCCCTTTCAGGTCTTTGCCCCAGCCTTTAAGAAGCAGTGCCAGACTCCTGTGAGTTCCTATTTCAGGCCACCAACTGGGCCTCCTGCCATTGCTGAAACTGTTAGTTTCCAATGCCCTTGGGGGCAGATATCACAGAGCTAGGGCTGACACAGGACTGAAAGAGGTCCCAGATACACACACACACACACACACACCACCCTGGTCTTCCTGCAGCAGCCCACTGAAAGGCAAAGGCAGGGCTGGGGGCTCTACCTCAGAAGAATCATAGGGATCAAGCTTGCCCCATGGGCTGCGGGGCCTGGCAGATGGGCTGAGAGGGGCTGGGGCACAGAAGTACTGCTGGCTGTCAGAGGACTGGGGCCACGAGGGTGGTCTGAACTCCAGGTCATCATCATAGAGGTCTGGGGCCTGGGGCCTTGGCTCCAGGACTTGGGGCCTTGATGCCCAAGTCTTAGCCTCTGGTGGGTGGCAGCTCTCGCTTCCTGAGAAATCCTTCACGAACTTGCTCAGTTCTCCATCATCTGTGGTGTCCTCCAGGAAACGCTTGATCTGGGGGAAGTGGGGTGGGTGGAGTAGGTAGGAGGTGATGGGAAGGGAGCGGGAAGGGAAGAATGAGGAAGGAGACGGAAGACAGGAGAAGGCAAGAGGAAAAGGGAAAGCACTTGTGGTTAGAAGAGAAAGAAACTGCAGCCAAGCCAGAGGAAGTGCTCACCATCCCTCCCTTACCTGCTCATAAGCCTCCCCAATCCAAGATGCCAGGAAGGGCCCCAGGGTCCAGGAAGAGCCCTGGGTACCCCCAAATCCCTGGCAACTGCTCTTGAGAACTGAGGAACTCCAGTTCTGGTCTCCCCCTCTTGGCAGCATGTTTTTTGAGGCTGCCTTTCCTGGGGTTCTGGCCTAGCCAGGGACTGTCTCAGGCCAGGAAGTAAGGCCAAACTGATTAAGATAGAGCAGACAGGCATTCAACGATAAAGGAGAGTACAGAGCATCAGAATGGGGCAGGGGATGAGGGAAGTAGGTAGGAGAGAAGAGAGCTGCCTGTGCCAGGCAGGTCAACCAGCAGGGGGTTCTGTGCCTCCTGTCACTGCTGGTCAGTGAGCTGGGGACTGAGGTGCAGATTCTACTGCCAGTGCTCAGTCCCCAAGGCTCACTGCCCAGCGCTCAACATAGCTGATCCTACCCCTTACTTCAGACACTGAGCCACACCCAAATCTGACCCTGGGCCCTGGGAGAGAACAGTAAACCTGCCAGTGGATGCTGACTGTGGATGGAAGGCAGCTGGGAGGGACCAGCTAAGGGAGCAAGGAAGAGCCTGGGGAAGGCTGAAGGATGGCTGGGCCTCCAGAGCTTCTGACAGCCCCCTACTGTGAGGGACATATAAGGGGAAGCACCCTCAGTTGTTTCCTTACCCCTCTTCCCAGAGCCAGCAGTACAGGAGAGGGTCTGGCCTAAACTGTGACCCACAGGGGGTGGCAGGCAGAGAATGGTCTGACTCCTCTGCAGAAGCCTGTTCTACCCTATCCCCATCTCAGAAGAGGGACCATTTTCCCCCAACTCTCATTGTAAGCTCTAGACCCTGAAGATTCTCCTCTCCTTTAGGGGTCAGCCTCCTTTGTGGGGTGCCTGGCAGTGCTGGGTTCAGCTCTGCCTCACAATACCCACGTGCCATCCCCAGACAATGGACAAGGGCCAGCTGCAGAAACTGACTCACTCTCTGGGAGTTAGCCAAGCTAGTGGGGACTACCCCAGACCACTGTGGAGTCCCAGCTAGAGTTGGGGAGATAAGATGGCCACAGTCTTCCTGCAAAGGGAAAACTTGAGGGAGGCGGATATGCACACTGACAGGTATATGCTAGAGGGACGAGGTTGAGATAGAAGGTTAGAGGGAAAAGTCTGCTAGGAGCTACTTCCAGGCTGTCACCTCTCAAGTCCTCACACCTGCTTATAGCCATAGTTTCCAGTGCTCACCTGGACAGAGGGGGGGAAAAGAGGCCCCTTATCCCAAAACTGGAACCAGCAGGTGGAGGCTAGGTGACTAGAAGAAGGTGTCCTGAGGCCAGCCTAACCCAGGGCTTTTCTTACCTATGATATTTGTGAGGTCCAGTGGCGACCATACATCCCAGTTTATGCCTGTTGTCCTGACATCATGATTAATTGTGCCCTTTCACTCTCAAAAGTGTCCCAGCTTAGACAATTAATTATATGGCAACAGAAAAAGGGTGGAACTTGGGGGCAGCCACTCTTGTTGTCTGGCAGCTAGTAAGTCTGGGGAATTCCAGGAAATCCTGCCTCTCTGCACAAATCCACAATGACCCAGCAGTTGGTCTGGGGATCAGGACAAGGGTAGGAGAGAGAAAGCTGTGCTTCACCTTGTTTCACTCAGGGGCACTGAGTAGAGGGGCAGGGAAGGGAGAAAGGAAGGCACTAATGAAGATCCCTAGCCCCCCACGATCTTCCAGCAGAGCCTCCAGGAACCCAGCACCGTCCTCACCTCTGCCAGCCCTGGCCGCTCATCCGCATGGAGGAGGCCAAAGGGGCTCTAGACTAGGAGTCAGGATGCTAGGGTCCTCGCCTCCTGCCTGTCCATCCCCACCCCGAGCTCTGCCAGTGACCAAATCATTTTCTGACTTTGAGCCCCAATCCCATCCAAGGCAGGGAGAAGACAGGTCAGGTCCACCCATCTCCCAGAGCAGCACCTTACCCCAGCTTCAGTCCTGTCCTCAGGGACAGAATTCCCTTGCCATCCCAGTGAACGGTCCATGTCCCACGCTTCAGACTCCCTGTCAGCAAGCTCTAGGTCTAATTTTATCTCCCAGGCAAAGTTCCTCATACACAGAAACAGCCTTGTTTTGATGCTCTTGTTGTCTGGCTTCCTGGCTTGCTCCTTTCCTTTTCTCTTTGACCCCCTTCTGTCTCTGGCAGGGGCCAAAAAAGCCTGTGGAATGTCCTTCCCCACCCCCTCTCCTCCTCCCCTTCCCTTGGCTCCCACCGTCCAAGGACAGCTCAGCTGCAGCAGGATCACTTGGTTCCTCTGCAGTCCCCTCCTCCTCTGATTGGCTGCCCCATGACGCCTGCCCGCTGCCTACCCTGGTGGGCACAGCACCAACCTCCCAATGTCTGCCTGCAGCACAGGCTCTTGATCCATTTGACCTCTCCTGTTAACCCCCAAGGACACCGTGGTCTGCCTCAGGACTATGAGCTGTCCCCAAGTGACCCGGCCCATCAGCACTTGAGGACAGCCACCCAGGATACCCATTCCCAAAGGATTTCAATCCCCTAATCAATTTCTTTCACCTTACCTTTAAGCAGTGCTGGAGTAGGACGAGACACCCTATATTCCCCCGTACAGATTTTTGTGGGAATGGTCCCCACACTTCTTCCCAAGTGTCCCTTTCTTTTTTTTGCAGTGGGGAACCTCACTGTCTTCAGAAATCTGCTCCTAGATTTCCCTGCAAGGAGCCCCACGACAGAGGGGACTTTGCCCAAGGGACTCCCCTAACCCTAGGACACCTCACCTCTACTCATAGCAACCTGTATCAATTCCACCACTCCATCGCTTCCGTAGCGTCAACAGGGGAGATGTTAGCACTTGGTCTCTGAGGAGCATGGGTTCAAGACAATGGGAGGCTGGCAGCCCAGAAACTTCAGAGCTGCCATTTAAGTGGGAGACAAATTAAGGGGCCTGGTTAGAAGTGTGCACTCAACTAGGAGTCCGCGAGGGGGGTGGGGGGCACTGTTTCTGGTTGGAAGGAAACATCTTTTATGAGTCTGGATAGTATCTTTATTTCAGGACCTTAATGGTCAGTTGTGAATGGCCCTTCCTTGCCTCCCAGGGAGGCTGGGGAGAGAAAGCACTCCCAGATGACAGATACTTTAAGCTGCGGTGAACCTGAGAAGAGAAGGTGCATCTCAAGTCACAGAACGTTGACCTGTCATTCTTTTCGCCTGTAAGTTTCAACTCCCTGGGGCATCTGGGTTGCGGAGGTCTTCCCCACTGATTGATTCCCAAAGCAGCTGGGACACTGATGTCCTTGGACAAAGAGACCCTCATAGAAGAGTCTGATCTGAACCAGTCAGCCTAAGAACTTGGCTGGCTTGAGAGCAGGGGCCTGAAGATGGGGACTTTGGTGGTGGTGGTGGTTGGGGTGGGGGGTGTCTTTAATTAGAGAAGAACAGGGTGGCCTTAGACAAGCTGAAAGCACCAAGACCTCAGCTGAACTGAACTTAGTGTGTGGCAGAAAAAGCCCCTCTAGCCCCTGCTGGGCTTGGCACTGGGGACAATCAATGCTTCCCCAGGCTTCCATCCCTAGAACAATCAGTCCCTCCATCCCCCATGTGGGGAGAAGTGGGGGACAGGAATAAGGACAGGCCTCTCCCAGGAACCCCCTTTGGGGAAGGTCACAGGGTCACCAAGACTTCCTGGCCAAGGCTTGGGCCTCTGCCTGGACACAGCTTGAGAGACAAGAGCCCAAAAGTTGGCCCTTCCAGACCTGAAAGCTTGTGATCCCAGGGGGCCCAGGGAGTTCCCTTCTGGAGGCTGCCCACAGCCAACGTCGCACCCCACAGGCTGCTCAGGGATCCCCTCCTGCTATAAACAGTTTGTGCCCCCAGTGCAGACAGCAAAGGCTGTAGGGCTTCCAGACTGGGAGGAAAGAATGGTGTGTGGTCTGGAGGTCCTGACAGCCTTATGTTACTTATGACAGGCTCCGGCAACAATGTCAGGAGAAGAGAAGACATCTTAAGCCAAGCATCGAAACTTCCTACCTGGGCACCTCCAAGGAGGCTGGCTGGGGTTACTGCTTCTCTTCCCACTAGAGGCAGGTGGCAGGAATGGGTGCCCCCACCCCCACACACTGCAGAGGGACCTTGCTGGTGGAGAGGGAGGAGGTAGGTGCAGCAGGAGGAAGCTTTCCTATGGTTCCTGACCCGGGGGCAAAGAGATATGGCTAATCCCCCCGGGCAGGACGGTGGGCTGGGCCTCGTCTCAGGGGTCTCTTTGGGAAAGGCTCAGGGACTGCCCCTTGTCAGGCTGAGGGAAGGAGGAGCCAAGCATCTCACCATCCCTCTTAGAGAGGCAGGCAGTGTTTATGGGCCTCCTCTGTGTTTTCCAGAGGAAGTTGATACTGGCCCCTGTGCCCAGGGTAGGTGGGTGAGGAGGGATTACGCAGGTAAAAGCCGACCCGGGCGAGCATGGGGACCCTCACCTCAGCTCATCACTAACGCGCCTTCCACAGCCCAATATGCGCGTCTCCGCCGGCGGGCACCTCCCTCCGCACGGACTCACCCCTTCGTTCGAGACCGCGGGCATCCCCCAGGGGTCGGGGCCCACTCTGTGGCTGCTCAGAGAGAAAACTTGGGAGCCGCGACGCAGCGCCGCCCGGCAGCAGTGCCAGCCTATGCCCGGGGCCGGCGGCGGCGCCTCCCATCCCGCACAGCCGCGACTGCGGTGCCGCGGGTCCCCTTGGAGCCGCCCGCGAGCTGCCGGCCCTGCGCACCCTGGCCCTGACCCGCGCCCACCCGCCTGCCTTACCATGGCTGCAGCCCGGGCGGGGCAGGCTCCGCCTGGACAGCGCCCGAGCGACCGGCGGCGGGAGCTGCGCGCCGACCTCGCAGCACCGCCGTCCCCCGCCCGCCTCTCCGAGTGCGGACCGCTGGGGGCGGGACCGGCGGCGGGGCGGAGCGAACCGGCCTCGGGGCGGGGCCTGCAACCTCAGCGGCTAGGGGTGCAGGCGCGAGCCGGGCCAGGGTGCCCACCTGGAGGCAGGCCTCGCAGCCCTTGACCCCCAGAGGCACAGGGTATGGAGAGTCAGCTAGGGCAGGGCGGAGAGCCTCAGCTCCTCGTCCCCGGGCTGCACTGGACACTTGGTTTTCTTTACTCAGCTCCAGAAGGACCGCGGGGGGCTTGAGCCAGTTCCCAAAGAAAAAAGAATGGCCCACCTGGCATCCCCATAAGGAGATGCCTTTGGAAGGGAGGGGGAGTTGCTGCATGACTTGGAGAGAAACCATTAGCTACCCCAGAGATTCAGCAAGGTTTTCATAAAGTGAAGCCGACTGATGCCTGTTACTGATCACCACACCTCTTAAAGAGGAATGTCAGATACTCTCCACCTCCACCTGAGCTGTGAAGAGGCAGGTCAGAGGCAGCCTCCCTCCGTGCAGTACCGCAGATTAAAGATGAAAGAGGATTTGCCGCACAAATTACCCAGGGATCATCTGCTGGAAGGATGGAAGGGAGAGGCTGAGTGGCTTTAACAGGACGGTGAAGCTTTGCCTGTGGCTGAGGACAGTGGAGAGGGCCTCAGGAGAGGCCAACTCAGGCATGACCCAGGCCCAGCTGGGCCACTCTTCCTCTGAAAAGCAGGTGAGATGCTGAGGGGACAGATGCCCCAGCAGCTTTAGAGGCACTAGAGGCTCAGAAGGGTCAAAGCAGCAGCTAGGGGAAGGCAGATGCTTGGTAAGCGGGGTGTTCGTGAGGGATTTCCTGAGCTAAGCAGGGTCTGAGCTGGTCAGGCTCCTGCAAAAGTTTCCAGAACCATGTCCTTTCCTGACCCCCAAGACCCCTCTCTCAATGGCAAGCTGACTGGCTTCTCCCTGAATACACTCTGGACAAAACTGAGACCCACAGGCCTGGCCCCCTCTGTTGGTAGATGTGCCAGAGGCCTGCCTGCCTTATTTCAGTCTGATCTGTGAACCAGTAGCAGTGGTTGAGACCAGTCAGAACTCAGCCAGAGGAGGGAAGAGGGCCTAGGGCAGCAGGTAATATCCGGCTGAGAAAAACAATAGGGCTGCTACTGGAGATGTTATTGGCTGTTTGGCACTGGTGGACTGGAAGATGGCAGGGTGTTCATGAGCCAGCAGGTTGAGGAGAAACCTTACTAGCTGGGTGGCCTTGAGCAACTCACTTCACCTGTCAAGGCCTCAGTTTCCATACCTGAAAATGAGGGGATTAAACTAAAAGATTTATAACTTTCTTGCCACTCAGGCCTTCTAAAAGTGGATGCAGTGGGGGAAGGAGGATATGCTGTATGCTACTGTAGGCCTTGGAGGAAGATAAGAGAACAAGGCAGCAGCAGGAGGTGCTGGAGAAAAGTTGGCCATGCAGTGATTCAGGAGAAGGCCCAGGATCTGAGAGAAGGGGAGGAGGCAGCAGCTTGGCTCCCATGAAAGGGAACCTCTAAAGATATGGAGAGGCTCCAGGAAAAGGCCTGGGGTAGATCAGGGGATCTGAAGCGGTACTCAGGAAAACAAAGACATAAAGAGAGAAACCAATGGCTGTTGTAAGTCTGCAGAAGCAGCAGCTGCTGCTGCCGTTAGCCCCAAATGTCAAGCTTAGGCTATACAAAGCCCCACTGTTCAAAGCGCCAGGCTGCCAGTATTCATGTATGCACTCTAAGAATACCTTTTGCATGCTTCCAGAGTCGTGTGGCCTGGCATGAGGAGAAAGCCTACATCAGGGAAGACAGGCCCCAGCAGAAAGTCTTATTTTCCTCTATCATATCAGGCCCCTCCCCTGAGCCTCAGCTGAATTCCAAGTGTGGACACAGACACATCTCAAAAGGTGGCCCAGCCAGCTCATCCTCAGCTGTGGCTGGAATCCCAGCTCTTCTCTGGCACCTGCTGCCCAGGCTCCAGAGTGCCCTGTGTGCCCTGAGGTAGGTTGGTACCAGCTTGCCTTGAGGAAAGCAAGGCCCTTACCAAGCCCTGGGACCACAGAACTTAGCTCTAAGCCAAAAATATTAGAGTCTAATCCCTTCCTAATCACTGTACCACAGGCCTAACATGAGGCATCCTGGGGGAAATAAAAGCTGAAGACTGATTTAGAGCCATCCCACCTGCATAAGCCCTGGATGCTAACCTACTGCAGCATTCAGAGGGCTCTGAGAGAACTTGGCCTGGGCACAAGCCCCATGCCAACTTGGCTATTTTCTCACTGCCTAAAAGTCCCTTGCCCTCTCTGGGCCTCTGTTTACCCCACTGAAAGAGAAGACTGGATTCCTCCAAACTCTAGCTCTTACATTCTGTGTGTTGGAGGCAGGGTCTGATACCTGCAGAGCCAAGATACAGCAGCCCTTGTATAAGTCACTGACGATTTATTGAGTGCTCTTCCTCATCTCCAGCCAGCAAGTGGCCTGGCCAACTCTGCTTCAACACGGGCTCAGCTCTTGGAGCGCTAGCTCTCCCTCAAAATTCAACATCCCACTAGGCATTGATGGCCTTGACTACAGTACAACTCCCCAGGCACTGCTAGGGCATGGTATTTGAGTCAAGTGTCTGGGAGAGTGTCTAGCTGGGAAACTCAGCTCAGCCACCATCGATCTAGCCTGCTGTCCTGGGCCTGTTGCTTAGGTCAAGCCAACATGGTATGTCCTGGCCTCCTCCACTAGGTCTTTCCTGCCCACCCATAGATGCAGTTTGTATGTCACAGGACCTAAGCAAGGAGGCTGCATGTGGGCCATGTCAGGTATGGGTGGCAAGGCTGGGAGCATTGTGTTTCCTGGCAACTGCTGAATGGCCGCAGAGGGGCAGTTCCGAAGCTGGCAGATTGCTAGAAGCCGGCCACTCTGATAGGGAAGACAGTCCTTCTAATACCCAGTGTGAGCAAGGCAGGACATGGTAGCTCAGGGTTGGAAAGGACTTACATACCTCCTAATGTGATTACTCACCAGATGTCCAAAGGCTCCCCCGCCTTCCCAGCCTCTGCTTGAATACCTACCTCTGATGGCCAAAAATTCACTGATTCTAATAACTGCTCTTCAACCTTTGGGCAGCCAAGTTACCAAAGTCTTCACTATACCGAGCCAAAATCTGTCTCTCCCTGGCTTTTACCCTCCAAATGCCTCCATGCTGTAAGCTTTGCAGACTCATTCCATTGGACTTTGCTTTGTCCTTTGAGGTCCACACACCTTAAGTGACCCATCTGTATACTTTTCTCTCCTAAATTAACCACAAGCCCCTCAAGGGCAGGGGGTATGTCTTCTCTTTTAACCTCTGCTCACTTTAAATCAGCAAGCACATGATGTGATGTTTGTCTGGGTGTCCAGGCCTCTGCCCCCAGGAGACGGCTGATCAATATGGATTGACTAAAAGGACTCATTGATTAGTTTTCCATTCTGATTTTAGAGCCCAGACAAGCCTTGAGGCTCTAGCTTCATTGACCCTTCACTTGCCCTTCATCCTGGCTGCTCACAAGCTCATACCCACCTCCCAGCCTCGTGGTTTACATGCAAAGACACAGATGTTATTCCCACCAAAACCTTTCCCTTCACAATTCTTGATATCTAAAGATGCTGCTGAAATGTTGAGAATTTATTTTACAGGGAGACATGGCTACAGAAGGATTTCTATCCCACATAGTTGACTCCCTGGGACACACTGCTCCTTAAAATGCTTCCAGCTTTGATGAACAAACTCTGAGCCTCAGTTTCTTCATCTGTGAAATAGGGAGAATAAATCCACTCATAGGTTACTGTGAAAACCCACTAACACATTTAACATGATCACTAAATGAACAGTAGCTATTACCTCTGCTAATGAGAAAATTATCAACACCAAACCAGCAACTGTCAACTGTGACTATTACAAATGCCTTCCCTCCAAAGGATTTGGAGTGTGCATGTGAAATAGATGTAGAGAGATAGGAGGGCAGAGAATACCAGAGTAATGCCTTAGATAAAAGCAACATTGGAATGACCAAGCTGCCACCTGTGACCACCGGTGGTCAGCTTCTCCAGCTAGACACCATCTCTAGAAAGCTGGTGCTTGGTCTCAGATCTACTGATCCAAATTCCCAGAAACAGCCACTCTGGAGACCCCTGGAACCAGATGACTTTGGTTGCAGTGGGTGTGCCAAGGAAGTGACACCCACAGTGTTAGCCTGAGCTTCCCTCAGGAACTGCCTCACATTCTGTCCCCCTCCTCCAGGCTTCATTCAGCCCCCAAGGTGCAGCTGTCTCCTGCTGCTCTTATAACAGCAGCTGAGCCAAAGGCAGCTGAGCAGAGGAGGGTGAGGGAACATGGCCATTTCTGCCTCTCACGACAGCCTTCCTCTGGCTAAGCAGCTGTCAGGGTGGCTCCTGGGTTACAGATTTGCTTCCTCACCCGAGTACGCACCCTGGCCTCTGAAGCCAAGTTCCCTCATCTACCTAGGCCCACTCTTTCTGTTAGTTGGAAAATCCACCATTTGAAA